CTTAGAACTGAAGAAGCTTCTCGGATGAGAGGTGAAACGTCTTCAAGCAACTTAAAGAAGTCCAGACGCTTTTCTTTGCAAGCTCCTTTGATCACACCAAAAGGTGACTTTGTTTATTGAACTCTCGCGTGCACTCTGCAGCATAACAGGAAGCATCCTTTCAAAAAATAATAACAGATGAGGGCATACCTATTAACTAGCTCAACAAATAATAAAGTAAGAGTCCAAGACGAGTGCCAATGCCACTCCGCCTAAGTCCGAACCGCCGCCTGATGTAGAGAGGGCGGGGCAGAAACCTGCTTCCTGCCTGAGAGAGGCGGAGCTTCAGTGGCTCTTCTTGGACGAGCCGAAGCCAGAGAAGCCCATTACTGTCGCCATCTCTTCGTCCTCCTCGAAGTCCACGTCCTCCTCCGCCCGTCGCTTCCGCTCCTTCTGCTTCTCCTTCTTGTACGCCTTCACCTTCTCCTCCTCCTCCCGCAGCTCCTTCATGCGCTCCTCGAAGTCGTACTCCTTCTGCTTCTCCTCCAACTTCTTCTTGTTCACCTCGAATCTCTTCTTCACCTGATCAAGAGACAAGCGCTCCACCCGCATCGACATGCCCAGGTTCCTCTGATGTTTTTTGCCATTGATGTGATCCAGGAAGTTGATGGAGTCTTTGACCACACAGTCGCACACGTTACAGTAATACCCGCCCATCTCGGCCTGCGGTGTGGTCTTGGTGATGATGATGGTCTTCCCCAGTTTGGACTCGAGGTCCACCGTGTAGTCCCGGTGATGCAGGAGGTCCCGCTTGACCGGCGGCGCAGTTTTTCCATCTCGCCATTCACGCTCCCTCTCCTCCACCAGACGTTTCTGGGCGAGGTTCTCGTACTCGTCTTTGTCCCATTTCCGACGGAAGTCGTTTTCACTCGACCTGCTGCCAGACGTCATCTTGTTTACTTGTGACCGGAAAAAATCTCCAGTCTTGCCGCAACCACTCATTTTGACAGGTTCTTCTCTTCGTAGTATCAAGACTAAGAGAAAATGTGGCCCGACTGGCTAAAAGCCTCGCTTATATTTCCGCAGAGCGCGCGCAGCTTCGTCACGCACCAATCGCAGAGAGGCTTGCGGCAGCGCGCAA